AGGAACTCATGAAGTGTTAAGAGTTTTACAAAAGTTTGTAGCAGAACATAGCCCAAGTATTTTAACATCAGACCAAGACGGTGCATACCTCAGCAACGAAATCACAGAATTTCTCATTAAGCATAACATAACTCACTACACTACTGAAGACCATAACCATAACATACTCGGTATCATTAACCGCTTCATAAGGACTCTCAGAGATTTAAATCAAGAGCGAGACTTTACCGAAGAAACAATGAAACATTTCATCGAAGTTTACAATTCCTCAACACATTCTACAACAGGACATACACCAAATTCAATGACACAACAACAAGAAGAAAAGTATATACAAAAGAAACGAAGTCAAACACAAAATATCAGAAATTCAACACAATTTACTCTCATTCCTGGAACAAAAGTTCGTGTAGTTCTTGACGACAAACCGTTGACAAAAAACGTTTAAGGTTAAGTCGAAATTATTATATCGTAGACTCTACGCAAGGTAATGGATATCTTATAAAAGCTGCTGACGACTCCATAGCATTTTACCCTCGTCATAAATTAGTCGAAAGTAGTAATGGCAAACTTGCTGAAACCATTGACGAAGCAAAGCGAGGAGTGGTTATTGAAATACTTGACTACAACATAAACGATGACACTTATAAAGTAAGATATGAAGGAGGCGTTGAAGATGTTATACCATCTAAGAACTTGAGAGAATCTAAACCAACTCATCTGGGACCATTAGAGCGGGAGTACTGGAAAGATAAAAACATGCCAGAAAGAATAAGAAAATTCTTCTAAACTTTTTCGTTGGATGTAAATCAGACAAAAATATATTATAGGTGAAGAGGTGAGATTTCACCTGTTTTCTCACCTGTTTTTTCACCTCTTGAATTTTCGTGAATTTCCTTAAGATAGAAAAAATAAAGTTAGTTTTATTTTTATTTATTTTTTATTTTGTATAAAAGATATGATTTCAACAATCGGCACAACAACAATTCAAGCCGCGAACGGCGGGACTCTGTCCACAACAACTTCACCAAACTCGTTAGTCATGAATCCAACATCTATGTTAGTAGAGATGGAAAGCTTCATTCCTTCTTCATTTACTTTCGAAACAGAAATACAAAAAATTAAGCAGGAACTTTTAACAAGTAATTTAGACTGTAGTGCGAAAGATGAAACAAATGAACAGTATCTTTATGAAATGGAGGACCTCATCGACCATTTACCTAAACTACCTGAAATTCAGCATCAAAAACTAACTATTCCTGAATTCGACGAAATTGAAGTCAAAGCAACTGACTCAGTAGAAATAAAGAAGTTCATACGTAAAGTAAATTATGAATTCCTTGGTTTTCATTGCAACCATAAAGTTATGGACAAAGATTGCGATATGGTATATAAGAATGTTTCTGACATATATAAATCTGAAGAATTTAAGACCTACGACAACTTTGTTTCGTTAGTTGCTGAATGTGTTTGGGAAATAAGAGATAAAGATAGAAGAGGCAAAGTATGGAACGAACAACTAAGACCCGCTATGTTTGAGATGAAGAGAGCAATTGACGCTTTAGTTGTTCTAGCAGGTCAAATTTCAATGTATAATGCAAAAATGAACCCACAATGTTCAAAATGTAAAGCAGCAATAAGGAAATATAACTACTCCGTCAAAGAGATAGAAAGAATGCGAAACGACTATGCAGACTTAAAGAAAGAAGCAGAAAAGCCAGCAGAAGATAAAATGGACATGTTAGCATTTCTGAACAAAAACTATCCAACAGTAGAAGATTTCCTTCTATCTGACGTCAAGAAGAAATATAAAGAGACTTTCGGCATTGTTAAAACTTTTGATATCCTCAGCGAAGAAATAGAAGCTACAAAACTGTTTAGGATTTCAAATATACATCGTACAATTCATGTAAAACGCTTGTGAAAAAAAGAGGTGAAAAATTAGGTGAAAAAAGAGGTGAAATCTCACCTCTTCACCTAAATTATATTTTTGGTCATTTACACTCATTTACGAAGAAGTCATGACAAAGCATTTACGATGAAATCTTGACAAGGCATTTACGAAGAAGTTATGACAAAGCATTTACGAAGAAGTTATGACAAAGCATTTACGAAGAAGTTATGACAAAGCATTTACGAAGAAGTTATGACAAAGTCATGAGGGTGAAAAATTAGGTGAAAAAAGAGGTGAAATCTCACCTCTTCACCTAAATTATATTTTTGGTCAAAGCTTCCACGAGAGAAAAGATTCCTCATTTGCTAAGGATTCCAAAAATGAAAAAATCGTTGATTTCGGCTGAGAAAAAACGGCAAAAACCCTTCTTCCACGGGAACAAAGAAATAAAGAAGAAATAAAGTAAATTTTTTATTTATTCCCGTGGAAGATAGAGCACTTTTATGACACTTTTTATTCACGACAAACAAGACAAATAAAGAAAATAAGAAAATACGGCGCTGTCGCGGTTCGAACCACAGACCCTGACCCCTCCATAACACCACCTTAGACCACTGTGCTACGTAGCCTGTCGACATAAGATTTTATAAATTGCATATTTGACGTAAATTTATTTCCATCTGGCTTCCCACTGCATAAGATATTCATACGTGTTTGTAAGACATTCATTAAACTTCTTTTCTATTGCATCTAATCTTGCGTTATTTTTTTCAATAACTTGTCTGTATTCTTCATCATCTCCAGCAGTGTTTGGGTCTTCACGTTTAAAATATTCATTGTTAACCAATTTTTTATCTACAAATTTTATTAGTGTTTGATTCACTTCGTTATGATAACGGTCATATTCTTTCAATACGTAAGTGAAGACAAAATGCGTCGTACCTTCAATCTTAAAGCTTAAAGAACTTTCAACACAGTTTTGAGGGTCTGTCAGTGCGTCAATGAGATAGTATTCGAAGTCAGTCAATAATCTTTTTAAAGTCATTTCATACAGGATAAAATTTAATGTTGTGAAGAAATAGTGTTTATCTCAAAAAAAATAAAGTTAGTTTTTATTTTATTTATTTTTTTATCCTGTATGTAAAGACAGATATGTCAACATTAGAGAACACAACAACTGCTATCGTTCATGAAGTCATAAATGAAGAATACGAATACATACAGTATAACAAACAATTGAGACTCATTCGTTCTGTCAAAGACGACATGTACCAAATGCAAAGTATTTTGACGGCTTGTTTTGCTCCAGATACTAAGCTTCCTAAAGACTGGTTTAGGAACCAAAGCACCATAGAACTATTAAGTGAAGCACAGCGAGACGTACTTTTTTCTGAAAACAGTGAAGAACAGCGAGTAGGTAAAAAATCCCAGTCGCCAAAACTCTATGAAAACCGTGAAAAATTGCCAAACGGTTTGAGAGGATATTATGTTCATAGACTTTTAGTAAATGCAGTTGCAATGTGGGCTTCACCACGTTATGCTTGGAATATTTACAAACTTCTTGACGAACTTCACAGACAAGAACGTGGAGAGATGGAAAAGAAACTTCAAGCAAAAGATGAAGTCATTGAATCCAAAGACAAAAGCATACAGAAAAGAATACCGCGTTCAGTACCAAAAGGAAAGGAAAAGAACTATAAGTATATGATTTATACTGAAGAGTTGGAGAATGAAGAAGACAGAGATATGGTTATGTTGCATTTAGTCAGAAGAAACAACAAAAGCTTTTACGACCTTGCTAAAATATATAAATCTGACAGAAACTGGTTCTATCGTGAAAACTTACCGATTTCAATGACACCGAATGAGCAAATAAAAGAAATTGTCAAAAATACTCTTCCTCAAACACACTATGACATCAAAGGTTGCACAATACTTACCTTCAAAGAAGACTTACCATTACTGAAGGAAAAAATAACAGAATATTTCGATAACTTCAAAGAGGAAGAATGAAGTCACGACAACATTAACGAAGAAGTCACGACAACATTAACGAAGAGAGAATGAGGTGAAAAAACAGGTGAAATCTCACCTCTTCACCAAAAATATATTTTTGGTTAAATAGCTTCAGGGTCAATTTCTTCAACCATTTCACTTCCTTCGTCAATGTCAATAGAAGCTTCTTCAACCTTTGGTAAGAACTTTTGTATAACATCTTTGTTCGTTATTGTCTTCAGAGATGAAGGATAATATTTCACAGATGTTTCACCCTTCTTATATTCTTTCTGTTCGGAAAGATTCATAGCAATACTGAAGAAGTCAATGTTGGAGTTCTTTATAACAGTATAATGAGTATCTTTGACATTCACGAAGAAACCCTTTTGTTTCAAAACTACTGCTAACTCTTGTGAAGTATAACGTTTGCGGTCAATGACAATAGCTAATGGTCTGACATACTGACCGAACTTAGATTCTTTCACAAACTTCTTGTTAAAGATAACATTGACGTTTGAAACCATTGAACTCATTCTTGATGGCAGTAGCGAGAGCATTGTATGAAAAGAACTTGCAATCTTGCATGTGTTTCATTAAAATAAAAATATTAAATTATTTTGAAAAATAACTTAAAAAAATGTAATCTAATTTTTCAAAAAATATTTTTTATCCGATAGAAAAGATGACAGAAAAATTAACTTTTTACATAGCGCCAGACCCTTCTTGCCCACATCCTTTTAAGCCACAATATATAGACATAGAACTAAATAGAGAAAGCGAAATTCCACAATATATATACATAGAACTAAATAGTGAAGGCGAAATTCTACAAACAGAAGAAAGCGAAATTCCACAAACATATAGAGACCTAGATAACGAAAATGGATATGCGCTATTCTGGTTAGATTGTCCTTATAAAATGTATGAAAAAAAGGCTTTATATGAAGAATATAGAAAATATTGTCATGAAAACGATATAAGACCAAGCTCTAGAGAAAAATTCTATGCTGGTATAAAACATCTTTTCGAAGTTCGGAATGGCAAATATATAAAGAAATAATTTTTCTAAGTTTATTTTTTCGAAAAAATATTTTTTTATTTCCTACTAAAGATGTATCGGAAGTTGTCTAAGTTAGAACACTCGGAAATAAAACAACTTCTTACAGAAGCTAATATAGATGTTGCAAAACATTACGCGACAAACAAAAAAGCACTCGCTGACTTCATTAAAGACTACAATGGTGCAATAAGTTATGATAGAATTCATGAGTTCATAAAGCCGCAACGCGGCGAGGACGAAGTCCATGCAAGAGCATTTCCTTTAAATGACATTGCTATTGACTTATATCATAGACGTTCAGTACCTCATGAAGTAAGAAGAGAAATGTTTGACATAACAAATGCGAACGTTGGTCATACTCGTAAAGCTCTTTCGCATGATGTTCGTCAAGAAATGTTTGACATAACAAATGCAAACGTTGGTGAAACAAGAAGAAGAGACGACACACTGAAACAACAGAGAAGAGAGATGTTTAAAAGTGCTATAGAACAAGTTCGCAAAGCTAACGATGTCATTCGTTCCATTGACGACAAACCAAAAGAAGGTGAGAGATGGTTAAAGAAAGATGAAGAGAATAGGAAGAGAAATGTGAAGTCAGGCAATAGACTCATTGACTTTAACATCGAAGCTTTAGATGAACCAAACAGAGAATATTTACACAAACATTTCGGTAAGGTTTTCATGAGACTCTTAGAGAAAATTAAAATAAACTCGCAACAAAGATGGATGGTATGTTATAAACTTGGTGGAAAGTATGAATGTTCTACGTTAAACCTCAATAATATTGGAACATTACTACATCAGCTCTTGAAGGAGAACTTTATATCAGAGATAGAAGCAAATGCTGCAGGTATTGTTGAAATGCACTATGACTTCTTCTTGACAAACATAAAGAATCTTACTGAAATAAAGATGTATGATTTAACAGAATATGAAGGCTTAACGATGTCAGATGTAAAGAAAGGCAAACCAAAAAAGAGACCATATAGAGATGAAAGCACACTGACAAATGACCAGAAAGCCATTTTGGAAGCTCTTAAGCAAACAGGAAACCCAGCACTTATAGAAAGCTTTTGGAAAGATAATGGTGAAAAGAAGTTTTATAAGAAGAGAAGCGGTCAGTTATGGAAGTATCTTTGCACATTACCTATAAATCTTGAACGCTACCAAATCTTCAATGAACTGAACAAAAGAACTGCAATACTTATGACAGAGGACAATTGTTTCGTTTATGCTTGCATTCAGGCTGGAGTAAATGAAGAAACTATTGACCACATGAGAGAAGTCATTCGTGTTAGAGACTTTCCTCAAAGTAAAGTACAAGAAATTTCTGACGCAACAGGTATAGCATTTAATGTTACCATTGGTTATTTCAATGACTCAAGACATAATGAAATAAAGAGATATATACCAAAAGAATGCGAAACTGTTAGAACTATTGACTTACTTCTTGTTGAAGACCACTACATGCTAAATGAAAGACTTCCAATGACAACATACTTCATTCGAAACTATAAAGAAATTCTCAAAGCTTGTGGTGGAATGAACATTGAGAAACAGATGAAGATTTATACAAAGAGAGAAGATAAATATGTAGTTCGTTATGATAGAACAACACCGTTATGGGATGTTATGAAAACATTGTGGGAGTGCAAATATTTCGAACCTATTTCTTATGGAGAACTTTTCACATATACTACTGACTTATATAAACAGAACCTTGCACCATTTAAAGATTTGACATATGCTCCAAAGTATTGTGTACAACTGAAGAAGAAAGCAGAGTCAAAAGAAGTAAATAAAGCTAAATGTAAATTCATTCCTGAGCACGTTTTCTTTGCTGACTTTGAGTGTAGTACGGATGGCTTTCATAAAGCTTTTAACATCTGTTATGACAGTGAAGATGGTTCAGTGAGTGAAAGCATTTGGGGTCAAAACTGTGCAACAGAATTTTTGGAAAGACTCCCTGACAAGAGTTTAATATATTTTCACAACCTCAGTTATGACATAAACTTCATCTTAAGACACATGACAGAAGTGAAAGGAACTCCCATCATTAAAGGTTCACGAACAATGCAAATAACTGGTTTATATAAAGGACGGGCAATTATTATAAAAGACTCTTACAGTGTTATAAATAAGAAGCTTAAACTATTTCCTGCTATGTTTAACTTACAAACAGGACCGAAAGAAGTATTTCCATATAACTACTACAGCAGTGTTTTGTTAGCAAATGACAACAGAACTGGTGTCATTTCTGAAGCATGTAAGTTTATCCGGGATGCAGATACATTTATGAAAAACATAGATTCCATCAAAGGTTGCAGAATAGATGAGAACCACTTCGACTTAGAAAAATATAGCACGTTTTACTGCAAACAAGATGTAAGAATTTTAAGAGAAGGTTTTGTAAAGTTCCGCAATGACTTATTGAAAGAGTTTGATTTAAACGTTTATGACTACGTTAGTATTTGTTCAATTGCTAACAAATTGTTTGAGAACAGAGTATACTTCCCGAATGGAAATCTTTATGACCTCTCAAATAAACCAAGAGAATTTATTTCGAGATGCATTCAAGGTGGAAGATGTATGTTGTCAGATAACATGAAACAAAAGAGCAAAAAGAAACTCATTGCTGACTTCGACACTGTTTCATTATATCCTTCAGCTATAGCAAGACTTTATACTTTAGAAGGTATTCCAAAAGTATTGAAGGAAGAAATGTTAAACACAGAGTATCTCATGAGACATTTATTCGATGATGACCAAAAGGAACCCATTGGTGAAAAGTTTATGTCTGGCTTCTTTGTTCTCATTAAGATAACAGAGATTGGTATACCCAGACACTTTCATTTAATAGTTTGCGACCCTGAACTAAATCCAGAACTTAACGTTCCAAGAAGTTCAAACACTTGCTGTCTCATGTATGTTGACCATATAACATTACAAGACCTCATAAAATATCAAGGTGTCAAATGTGAAGTGTTGCAAGGATACTATTACGATGGAAACAGAGATATGAGAATAAGAGATGAAGTAAAGAAGTTGTTTGAGTTAAGGTTAAAGTATAAGAAAGAAGAAAACCCCTTACAAGAAATTATAAAACTCATTCTGAACAGCATTTATGGCAAAACTATTCTATCTCCTATTGAGTCAAAAATAACCATAGTAGATGACAAAGATGCTATAAGATATGCTATAAGAAATTACAACCATATAGTGAAGTTCGAAGGTTTGGATGGTTCAGATAAAACTATTTTCAAGCTAACGAAAAGCATTTGCAGACACTTTAACTTCTGTCCACTTGGTGTTAATATTCTGTCTATGTCAAAACGTATTATGAATGAAGTATTCTGTACTGCAGAGGACAATGGATCTTTTACCAGGATACCGACAGTATGCACTTATATAATGAAGACATCCCAAAGCTTGCAGCAGAGTTTAAGAAGAGATACGGTAGAGAACTTATAGGAAAGAACCTTGGTCAATTTCATAGCGACTTTGCAGAAATAACACCTGGAAAACAAAGTTTAGCTTATAAAAGTATTTTCTGTGGAAAGAAGACCTACATAGACTTACTCACGAATGATTTAAATGAAGTTGCATTTCACTGCAGAATGAAAGGCGTGAAGCAAGATGTTATTGCTTTAACCGCTAATGAAATGTTTCCTGAAGCTATACAATGCTATTACAATGAAGATAAGAACATTCACATACCTGTTGGAACATATGACAAAGACTCTGAGTTCAGTTTAATGAAACTTTACAAAGCACTTTATGATGGTCAAGAGATTGCATTCGACTTATGTAAGTCATGTCAACCTTGCTTTGCTGAAAAGTTCAACTTTTCAATAACGACTAAAACAAGCTTTATTCGTAAGTTGAAGTTCTGAGGTCATTTATTTTTGTCAGCAATGAGGTCATTTGTGATAAAAATAAGCCGCTAGCGGCATGGGCGAAGCCTATGTGGTCATTTACAATACAGCTATTGTAGAGTTTAACAATTGTGCTTCAATGTATAAACAATCTTTCCCATCTGGAGGTAAGAACACTGGGCACTTATGGTCATGAGTGGAGAACATGTCTATCCAAAACTCACGATTGAAGCCAGTAAGCTTGTAATACTTAGGATTTGACAGTGGTGAAGTTCTTGTATGACCAATGAACTCATTTTCAACTCCCTTACTTAAGTTTGAATATAATATAGCTTGCTTTCTATCCCAAATGCCAGGTGTTACAATCTTTGAAAATTCATTTTTCCTCGGAAGTATTGCATCATAATTGAAAACATTCTTGAAGTCTTCATTGGGTTCAGAGATTTGAAACCTTATACGTAATGGATTTTCTTTCTTTTTAGCGACTTCATTGAATGGTGAATATATAACAAACTGACAGTCATGAGTTCCATCTTCATTTTCATTAAATTCATAATGAAAGTCTATAAGTTGTGGCTGACTACCTTCTTCTTTCAGTTGTGCAAGAAACTCACGTAAAGGCTGTAAAGTTTGTACTTCAATATTGAACTTTTTCTCGAACATCTCATTAAATGAAATCATACATTGCAACAATGTTGTATCGTCTTTAAAGTATTTGTATATGTGAATGTTTTGGGCGCTTAAAGACTGTTCGTCATTTTCTATCTCGACTTGAAGTATAAAGTCAACCTTTCTGAAAGCACGTGTTATATACATAGATGTTATGCCAATGTACTTCTCTTCATTTATGTTCACAATCCAGTCTGTTGGAAACTTAAACGTTACTCTGTTCCCCTTTATTTTGACGTCAGGGTTTTCACTACTGAACGCAACAGATAAAGGTATTTGTCTATACATTTAGTTTGGATAAAAATAAACCATTTACTCTTTCTTTGCTTCAGCTTCCTTTGCTTTTTGTTCTTCCTTTGCTTTTGCTTCTTCTCTAGCTTTTTTCGCCAGCAAACGTGGGTTCTTCTGTCTTCCAGCAGCTAATGCAGCTAGTTGTTTTTCACTAAGTTTTCTCTTTGGTCTCTCTGGCTTTTGTTCTGGTTTTTGTTCCTTCAGTTCGGATAAAATTTGTTCACGAATTTCTTTCTTCAATGCTTCAACATCTATGACCCCTTGGGTCTTGTCCGTAGGATTTGACTGAGTCATTTGACTGTAGATAAAAAACTAAATTAAAACTTTAACCGATGTAAAATGAGCTTGTCAAAATCAGAACGAGAGTCTATTATATTAAATGACGCCAGAGGAATACAACATCCTTTCTATTATGTAAGTCAGAGTAAAGATGGGTAAAATATATGTAAGAAAAAGAAAGGTTCCATTAGCGAATACAGAGAGCGACAACATTAAGGTGCATGGCACCGAGGGCGAAGCCCATATAAAACCTTCTGTACAAACTGAGCCACCAAAAGAACAAGAAGAAAAGAAGCCAGATGTACTTTCAATAACGAACCAAGAGCTTATTGCAAAGTTCGTGAATTTCATTGAAAAGCAAACCGAGTCAAAGAACCCTGACCCACCAGTGAAAGAAGTCGAGACAAAAGAGAATGTACAGTTCATTGAAAATGTCAAGAAACAACTTCCACCACGAATACCAAGAAGAAGAGTGAGAATAATGAAGTAAATAGATATTTTTATCTGAAGTAAATACATGCAGAACGAACAGTTAAACGAATTTACTCCAGCAGAGCATATTCATCAGATTCGCTCATATTTCGATATCATAGACAATGCAGTTCAAATTGGTGACACTAATAGAAAATATTCTGACGCAAAGATTCCATCACAACCTGGAACTGCTAAAGATAACACATGGGTAACATTCAATCTCTCACCTCCTGGTGAAAATATGTTGGACCTTTACAATACATTCATTACGTATAAAATGGAAGGTCAATTTATTGTAGATAAAGAAATTGGTTCAGGTTCCAATAAAACAAACCCACCAGGATTTTGGATTGGTTTCGATGACGCTTTCTATGCAGTTGCTGGATATCAAATCCTTGCAAATGGTCGTATCGTATATTCTCAAGACAACGCAAGAGAAGAAGCATATATAACTTCAAACTCACAAACTACCGAACAAATAAAGAAAGTCGATGTTTTTTCAAAGACTCGACATAAAGATGTATGGAGTCATTCGGGAACATGCAGAACAGGACAAATTGTTGGTGGGCCGATTACAGCAGGAAAATCATTTGATTTTAAGCTTCGTTTAAGAATTCCTGTTAGAAGATTCCTTCCATTAGAACCTATTCGATTTATTCCAGCTTTTGCAGGAAACATTCAGCTTAAAGTAAAGTTCAGTAGCGACGCCTTACAATGCACATCTATATCTGTAAATGATATCATTGCTTTCAATCCAACTCTTAAAGTTGCATTTGCTTCAGGTTCAAATCCACCGACAAATAAATTTGTTCCATGGAATGAACCATTCACTATGATAACGAGTGCAACTGAAGCTAGTGGAACAGTTACTATTACAACTGTAACCCAGCAACTATTTCGAAAAAGATGGATTTTAATGAATGTTTTATTCATCCAAAGTCATTCTCTTTAGACCCTAACATTTATACAGAACTTGTAGAACATTATACAAACGAGGCTTTATGTTTTCCTGTTAAAGTTATGGATTGGGATTCCTATGGATGGTTCATTCTCAAAGAATACAGATAGTTCAAGTGCAACATTTACAGCAGCTTATACGCCTATTAATGTTAAAAGTATTTGGGCACTATTTAGAAAGAAAGACAACTATTATGTTAATTTTGAGAACCCTAAGTTTAAATATCTTCAGCTTTCCATGGGAGCTTATGGAAATATGCCTGCAGAACCTGAAAAATCATATGGACCTGTATTTTATGAAATGGTTGCGAACGCTTGCAATACAAACAATGATATGATTGGATTTAATGAAGATGTTATGAGGTCATTGGTGGATGATGGTAGTGTGGAACATAAATGGGATAGCTATGACAACACACATTTCTTATGTGGTTTTCCAACAGAAGTGGACTTTTGCTTCCAGCAAGGTCAAACATCTACTGCTCCAATAACATACAAATTGTCTGTTAAAGGACCTATTGAACTAGCAACAGAAAATGTACCAAAGCCACTTATTGGATTTATGAGGGATTGTTGCTTTGCAATACAAGTAAGACAGTCAGGCATACCAATAATAAGACTTGACGACTATAACTTAGCAGCGGACGACAGTGAGGAATAAAGGATGAACGTTTATTTTTAAAGCTTATAAATGAGTTCTTCATCAAGCTCTCGTGAACCTTCACCATCTGTGAAACAAACTTTACCAAACGATTATGGAGCACCTATTGAATATTTCTTACGAGCTGCACAATGGCAAAGAGCAGTCTCACCAAGGTTAGGTGTTCCACCAGCTCCTGTCAAAAATAGCATTTGGTCAAGTCCTTATATAAGATATGGTCTCCCACTAGGTTTGCTAGCTACAGCAGGAGCAGTAATGATATTGAAAAGAAACAAAGCAAATGTTATAAATAATACTGAAGTAGCTGAATTTGAACAAACTCCGACACCATCGCCAAAACCAACGTCAAAACCAACGCCTTCACAAACAACACCTTCAATGACTCCTGAACCTATGAAAGTACAAACTCCTGTTCAAAAGTCAACTCCAAAACCGACTCCAACATTTAAACCAGAACCTACTCCTCAAATAAATCGTAAAACTCCTGCGTTTCCTTACTGAAAAAATAATGTTAGTTTTATTTTATTTGAACATTTTATTTAGAGTAAAATGACGACTAAAGTCACTGAAGCAATGAAACAAAAATTTTTGGTAGAATACATTAAATCAGGAGCGGTTCCAGAAGGTTTTTACGTTCATACTATGAAGGATGGTAGAGTTCAGTTTAGAAAGATAAAGCAACCATTAGATAGAGAAGGTATATTAAGGAAGATTAAACTTCATGAGGACAACATTGCTGAACTTAAGAAGAAGTTAGAAGAGTTGGAGAAAGGAAGAGAGTTATAAAGTAATGAATTCAACAGACCCAAAGGGTCAGAGCCGCTTTGCGGCTAGGGTGAAAAAAGAGGTGAAAAAAGAGGTGAGATTTCACCACTTCACCTAAATTTATTTTTTCACCTCTGACAACGTTTATTTTTAAGTTTATTTTATTATTTAGCGAGAACGTTTATTTTTATATAAATGACAGAACAAAATATAACATTTCTACTCAGCAGGAATGAGACCCTTACTGACTATGTATTCGTTTAATGCTTGATGAAAACAATGGTACATATTATCGTATGGGTATACACAACGTCTGTTTCCATCGTCGTCGTATATGTAGAGCTCAAATCCAGTCCAACCTTCTTTTGTACAATATGTAGCTTTATTTAAGTATGCATTTATGTAGATAAGGCAATTTTCTTCATCGCTCCAGAAATAATTTTTCGTCATTGTTGAAATAGTTTTCGTTCCTCTGCGACCATAAGGAATGTATGCAATGAACTTTGCGTCATATGGGATTGTAATATATTCAGGGTTTCTTTCATCGTCAATGGGTCTGTCTTTGTTAAAATGCATGTTTCTCAGTTTTACTTGAGTTTTGAATAGTTCACGGAAACGTTCTGGGAAAGAGTCATAGTAAATGTAGTCGGACATGTCTTTGTAATGAAATAAAAAATTTAAAAAAATAAAAATAAGGTTATTTTTATTTAGTGAGGACGGTAGTGAAGTCGTTAGTGAAGTCGTTAGTGAAGTCGTTTATGTATCAGATGGTTTTGTAAATATTTAAGGTTAAGTTGGTGTTTGTGTTTGTGTTGTAAAATATACGTTACCGGTTTTGTAAAGTGTCAAACCGTTAACTTGGGTAAGGTGGAACGCAGTGCCGCCGTACCCAAGTTAGGGATACTAACTGACTCGGATATTGACATTTGCCAACGGTGCAATTTTTGCCAATTGACCTCTGAGAATGTACCTTGTCTTCACACATGACTCAAGATACTTCATCTTCTCATCTGTAACAAGACCAGAGTTCCTGAGACATGTAAGAATACAAGGTTCATTGACAATTGTTTCAATTGAATTGTAAATTCCATACCTTGTCAAGTCAATGTCAGACTTATTTATGAAGGGGAAGTATCCAGCATGTTGTCTGACTGCTTGAGGGTTAGGTTGGTACCATTCGAACTTGACACTTGCAATTCCTTCAATTGCATTCAAAATGTCTGAGTCGGAGTCAACCATTTGTTCTCTCTTTGTAGTCTTGAAAGCGTCAAGAAGTTTTGCGGCTGTTTGTTCATTGCCATGTGCATAGTAAATGTGACCATCCAAATCTGTTATGGTCAATCTGAGATTGTGTCCTTTCTTATTTCCGTCTTGAATTGCAGCAAGTACTCCCATGAAGCCTTCTTTGTTCTTTCCTTCGTCAAAGTTTACTGTAAAGGTTCGACCAGATGTAATTTGACTTCTAACTTCACGATACTTTTCATATGCATATCTTGTTCTTTCCATGGGAGCATGTGTGTCTTCACCTTTTCCTTTTTTCCTTCTCAAAGGATGCAATTGTTCGTCATGTTTCCAGTAGAATCTGGCAAAGCCGTCGTGTCCTTCAACTTGAGGTTCACTAACATCGAAAGGCATGTCCATAAGACGTTCTTCTTCTAACCTCTCTAGTCTGTTTGGATAATTGGCACGTGCTGTTTCCAAATCCATTTCGTAGCGAAGACCAGACAATTTGTCATAGACTTTTATGGGTCTTCCCTTCCTATATTTAAACTTCTTCGAAACTCTCCAACCATATCTTTGTAACTCTGCTTTTATTCTAGCAGACTTTCTGTCCATTCTATATGTGGGCATTTTTATAAAAATAAAAAAATATTTTTTTTCTTTACTTTACATAACCGCCTGCTGCCATAAGTCTTTGACGCCAACCCATACCAGCTAATGAAGGTTGACTTGGTTTAGTTTGGAAACTAAACTTTGGTTTTGGTTTATCTTCTTCTATCGGTTTTTCGTCACTTTTCGGTTCCTCTGACTTTACTTCACTTGCAGGAACAGTTGTGTCGTCAACATCTTCATAAATATCATATGCCATTTGTTTTTGTTTTCCTTTCAACTTTTTGTGTTTGTTGTAAAGTTTAGAATATTTCGACTCTAAGTCAATGAGATGTTCTATAATGAACTGTTGGTCAGTGAAGTAAACTTTTCCATCTGTTGTCTCGAAAGCTCCTTCAGACTTCAATATTTTATTTGTGAGAGTCTGTTTCTTTTTTGAGATACTAGCCGTTCCATTTCTATGAAAAGTGACTTTATAGTTAGGGTTTGTATTTCCAGACCTGGCACTTTCTATTATTGAATTTTTCTCTTCATCTGTAAGTTCTTTGACAGGTTTTGACAATGGTTCTGAACTTTTTGTTTGTGGTGTCAAATCTACCGTTTCAACTTCTTCGGTCATTTCATCTCAGTAAAAAATTTTAGTTTGGTTTGTTTTCAACTGGTTGTTGTTGTGGAGGTGGGATGGTTCCTTTAATAATATCATTCAGTTTCACATGCTGAACCCGACAAATCCATCTTGAACTCATTTGTCTCAATGCTGCATTGTTCATTTCATCTCAATAAAAAACTTTACATTCCCCACGTTTGAGGCGGTTGAGGTTGGTTATTGTTTACCCACTGTTGTGCATGGTTATATCCTCTGTTAAAGAATCTTTCACCTTGGTCCATATAGTGTCCTGCTTGGTTATAGTAGTCATTTGCTTTGTTATAATAGTTTCCTGCTTGTCTTCCTACATTGTCCATCCATCCTTGAACTTTTCCTCTTGTTTCAGGATTTGGAATAAGATTTGTTGCATCTCGTGCTACATCCCAACCTTTCTGTACAGTTTGTATAATAGGTTGTGCTTTCTCTTTCAGTATACCTAATGTACTCAAAATCTTCCTTCCAACTCCAAATGCACCTCTGGCTATTGTTCCCACTGCGGGTAAAAATCTGGATGCAACTCCTGCTAATGCGCCAAATAAACCCATTTCTTATAGGGTAAAAAATGACGAATCCGAACAAGGACCCCTATGTTTCTAAAGCGACAAAGAAAGCACTCATGATAAAAATCTTTAGTTCAACACCAAATGCTTGGTTTATGGATATCTTGGAAAACATTCCGAGAGTTAGAACAGATGGACCTCCATACTGGTTAATATTTGTTGGTCAAAACACAAGATACTGTGAAGCCATACCATTACAGTCCAAAGCTATTTTAGATATCTTAGCAGCTTTGACAATATTCGTTGACAAATACCATCCAACAAAACTGACATCTGACTGTGAAAGTTCTTTCAAATCAGATGATGTAAAAAACTATCTGCGTTCAAAAAATGTAAACCAATATTTCATTGTCGACCAAAACCATTCTGCTCTTGGTGTCATTGACGGTTGTATAAAAATGTTAAGAGACTTAAACCAACCACAAGGTGGTGAAGCAAATGAAATGTCATATGACGACAAGTATAGACACTTCTCCATGGCAAAGATGAGACAAGTTTTAAATATTTACAATAACCGTAAACAAAAAGGTTTGGGAAACCACTCCCCCGAAGAAATGAAAAACAACCCTGACTTAGAGAAAGACTATATATTTAATAATTTAGTCAAAAGAGACAAACAAGAAAGAATGCCGGGCTTCAAACTTCAGAAAGGTGACAAAGTAAAAATAGAAATACCTAAACGCGACCCATATGAAAATACTATTGACTATGACAACAATGGGAACCCGACAGGTACTCACATTCGTGTTCGTAAAAATAGAAGAAAGTATACAAGAGAATATTATGAAGTTTTAGGCAAACATGGCAAAATGTACACACTGCAAGCAGAAGATAAAACTACTATTGTCAGACCTCGTTTCAAACTTGTCAAAGTTCAAGGTGGTATACTTTCAAAGACAGTTCCTAACAAATATAAGACAACTCCTGACGAATATGCTAAAGAAGTTGAAAATGACGACTAAGCAATTCTATACCATGCGTAAACTGTCATGTAAGGTGGCATGTATTCTTTACTTTGTCCCGTTGTTTGTGTATATCCTGAAACGAAATGTGTATGGTTTCCTTCTCCCTGAGTGTCACTCCAGTAACAATTTATAGCAAACTTAACGTCGTCTTTAACATCATATCCTTTACCTTTTGTCATTCCTGACCAATCCCAATATCTATGCTTATGCCAACCTGCTTGAGATGTACTTAAATCTATGTAGTGACTGTGTGCAGGTAAATTTTCACCTGAAATCGTTTTACTTCCACCTGTTTCCTTTGAAGAGTTTGCACAATACAAAAACCTGTCGACTATTTGTTCCCATGCACCAACACCAAACATTACTTGAGGACCTCTTGCATCCATAGATGTATAAATAGAACCTACTGGGTTCATTAAATCAAATATATGAGATATTATAGGATTGTCTCTTTTGAACTTAAAATATAGTGCAACTATTTCAGGTTTCTTCTGGTTTGTGTCAGAATATTTTTTATAATATAATCTTATGTTTTCAGGGTAGGTAAAATCTTGACTATAATATTTATTTCTGTCATCTGTATAATAATATACTATTCTCGTTTTTTCTATTGCATTATATCTTTTATATCTATAATAATCTAAATATAATGTTAGCTTTTGTTCATCTACATGTGGTGTTCTGTCGTCATCTCCATAGTCATAATAATGTGGTGCTGGAGCTGGGTCAGGCAATGTCATATCTGCCATTTCATAAACTCTTAAATATTTCTTTTGTTCGTCTCCATATAAGTTTAAGTAGCAGTTGTTGTCTAATGGAACTTTAACTTGTGTACCATCATTCTTTTTATAGCTTACATACATTTCATTGTTATTTTTCGGAATGAGTTTATGCCGTGTACCATTTTTTAAGGACTGTACCAACTGCCATCTAAAATATTTATTTTCTTCATTGACAGAAAAGTCACCAACAATAGTTTCAATATTTTTTGTTCCTATCAAACTTTGGTATATTTCATTGACATATGTTTTATCTGCTTTATTTTCAAGGCTAACGTTTAAGTTTGTAATATCAGATATAGAATGTGTATGTCCAACGGCACTTTTCCTGTTTAAGGTTTCTTGTAAGTTTGTAATATTTGCAATGGTATGTGTATGTCCAACGTCACTTTTCCTGTTTAAGGTTTCTTGTAAGTTTGTAATATTTGCAATGGTATGTGTATGTCCAACGTCACTTTTCCTGTTTAAGGTTTCTTGTAAGTTTGTAATATTTGCAATGGTATGTGTATGAGTCTTATCTGCTTTTGTCTCTAATGTTTCCTTAAGACTTGGTATTTGGTTAATATAATGTATATGAGTCTTTTTAGAATATTCGTTTTCAGCTCTTGTCACTTCACTTGACATTTTATTGTCAACATATGTTTTATCTGCTAGTTCAGGATGAGTATGTTCTTTTGTTGCATAAGCATTGTTAGCTCTTTCTTCTTCTTTTGCTATTGCATCGTCTACATATTCTTTGTCAGCTTTGTTGTCAACATCTGCTTTCAAAAGAAGTTCATTTATAGGTTTCTCGTTTAAAGTTCCTTTTGTTGGATTTATACAGACAGTATTGTTCTTATTGTCTTGAAATAGAAACTCATCTGTCATTGGGTTTATTGTCAGTTTTAAGTCACCCCCTTTCAATGACTCAGATATCTTAGAATAGTTTGAAAAGTTTGTTGTGTTCTTATTTAGAGCTTGCATAATGAGTTGTCGGTTGTGTTGTATTTCTCTCATAGACGCTGTTTCATTTGACATTTTTATTATAGATAAAATATGCTTCCAATAGAAAAAGAAAATTCTAGAGTTGCTACAACTAAACCATTAGATGAACTTTTTACTAATGTCGGTCAAAAGTTTGAGACAGATACCGTAAAGCATAAAGGCTATCGTTTTGACTACCCATTAAGATGGTTAAGAGACCCATCCGTCACAAAAGCTATTGGCTTTCGTAGAATGAAGTTCATTTCAGAAGCCATACATGGTTTCCCATTTACGGTCGGTTTTGAAGTTCGATACTATAACAAAGAAAAACGTTCTGAGGTTTTTGCCTATATGAACGACGTCCGCGATGAAGATAATCTTAAGATCTTGGAATTTTGCACTTTTAAGGACTTCTACTAATCCATCAAAGCCAGTAACTAGGCTGTACCAATGGTGAAAGAATATCTGATAAACAAAATCGTAAGATTTGTCACCATCAGTTGTAAAAACCGGAACATTCGGTGTTTTCTGAACTGTAGCAATGTAATCCAAGAGTTCACTCATAATTCCAGATGCAAGACCATTTGTATGTTGTATTATATGCAAACATATTGATGGACCTTTGCAATCTAATGGCATCAAATATAATGCAAATAAGTCCTCGATTTGATCGTCATGGCCGGACTTCTTCCATAATTTGCCTGTGGTTGCATCTATTCCAATGCAAAAATGGCATTGTTCACGTAATTCCTCATCTGTATATGGATATAATTCCCTGAATCTGAGGAATACTGGAAGTGAAGATGATTTTGAAAGCAAAAGTTCCTTCCATGCTGCAATATCTTTACCAAAGACTCGAAATAGAGTTGCTTTTGATGGCAACATAAGTTTCTGTCTTGCCAACAAATATTCTGAGGGTGGTTGGCAATACAACATAAAGACAAATTGAAGTGTCTCCGCATAGTATCGTCGGCTCTTTGAGTTTGGAAAATTTAAATTATATAACATGTTATTAATGATAACACACGTTAATTTATCTGCAAACGGAGGGTACTTAAATAATGGGGTATAATCATCTAATAATATTTCGCTTAAACTCAAGGATTCATCACCATTTGTTTCATCTTCATCTTGATCATCAGAATCATCTTCATTGTCATTGAGAGTTTCAAGATCTGCCTTTTCTGCTTCTTGTTCTAATTCGTCTGCAGTTCCATCTTGTATTTTTCTTTGTTCATTGATTTTTTTCATTTGCAGAGATCTTTGATAGCTTAGAGCACGGTTTTTGGAAGCTGCAATCATTGATTTAATAGTATTCTCTTGTAATAGTTTTGATTGATTGGGACTTGTTTGATAATCTGCGATATTATTATAAATAACATTTTACATTTTCAATTTACATTTACATTTTTATTTTTGAATTGTTTATTTATATTTCCGTTTGAACAATAATATTTATTGAAAATTGTGAGAGAAACGGATATAATAAAAAACACCATACAACAAAATTCACTTTTTTTCATACTTACGCGGATCACTCCTTTTCGGCCCGATATGCCGGAAATGATAAAACTCTCAGATCTAGTTGCTAAGATCCAAACTCTCGACTCTCAAATCTACTTCCTCAGATCTTGTTGCTAAGATCCAAACTCTCGACTCTCAAATCTACTTCCTCAGATCTTGTTGCTAAGGAACATATAGAGATGCTTTGTATCTAGGACGAACTCCTCAAACATCTATTTCGAATAATGAATTTAGATTCGATGCGCTTTTTATTTGAATTTTTTTGAGAACTTTACAAACAAAATTTTTAGATCATTCACTCAAAAATCTGAAGTGGAAAATTTGAATTTTATTCCCTACATGATACAAATGTTTTTAAGTATGAGATATCGATCCAATAAACACAGTTTCATTAGATTTTGCTTCGAAATTCAGAATGAGATAAAAATTTATCAAAAAATAATCTAAAAATTATTAAATAAATACAAATACATACATGGAAATTTACATTAATAACAAACAAAAATGAAAAATTATAATCAATAATTTCAAACTTCACCAGTTTTGGCGGTTTTGTATATAAATATCGCAAATATCACAGATGTTATAAGTGAAAGTATAATTGATGACTTCCTGTAATGAACTTCCACGCGTTTTTGCGAATTTTCTGGGTATTTCATGCCTCTTATGTTGGTTAAAGCATCATTCACATAATATTTGAAGTCATTTAAGGCCATCCTTGTGTTTATAATAAATTTTCTATCAATATCTCTATTGATAATTACAATTTCTGATCTTGTGTAACTTCCTGCTCCTAAAATAGATCCAAGATCACATTCTTTACGGTTTATCCAGCCAGAAACGAATCTCCCACATGTTATCTTATTTGCAAGGTTCAGTCTTTCGATTTCCATTTTAGATAAAACAGAATTTGGAGTAAGAAGTATCATTCCATTGGAATGATTGGTAATGTTTAAGAATTCATCTTGTGTAAACTTATGAAAGTTTGAAAATCGATTTTTAAAAATAATATCGAACAAATTCATTTCTTTTCCTTTGAAAACGCGTACACAGTATTTAGAATAATAGGCAGTAAGAGTAGGGGTTGTCTTTTTCGATGTCAGTGAGTAAGTAAAGTTAATTTTAAAAATTTTTGGATTATACATTTGCGAAATCTGAGAATATGTATCTAAATTTCCCGAATAATTACTTGCACGCAAATGGAAAGTAGTTCCACCATTGATAGGAAGATTTCTGATCAAATGATAATCATTATTAATGTTAACTGTATTATTTTCGGGTGGCTTCTCAAAAATATCAGTTAAATTAGCATAAGATTCAACAACATACTTCATTGAATCATTAAAATTCAATCCTGGAGATAAATTTATCCAAACCGGTAGTTTCTTACTTATTTCATTGCAAAATGTCATGTTTTGCTTGCAGTAATAAGTCACTAAATAGCAGTTATTACAAAAATCATACCAAGTGAGTCTTCTAACTCTGTCTAATAAAATAACATTTGGATCATCATGGAGAAGTAGAAAAATATTACGATATTTTGATTTTTCTAGCAATAGGTATAGCTGGTCGTTATCAATTTTGCTAAATTTGGCTCTCCGAAATAGGAGATAACTCAACATATTTGGATTTCAAAATATTTAAGGGTGGCGGAAAGTGAAGTAAATGACCAAAAATAAAATGCTCTTATCTCGTCATATTTTTGATATCTTTTAGTAAAAATTATATGGATACAAAATTCATTTGTAGTAGTATATGTACGCCATAATTTCATTATCATCTATGCAAGCTTTTGGTTTTCCCTCCTATGATAAATATGGGAATAATGAGTTTGATAGGGGTAAAAAACTTTAAATATCTCATGATTGGAGCTTTAAACACAAAATTTACTCAATAGAAAATATAGATAACAATAGCCTATATATATTTAAATATAAAGAAAGACTCCTTATCTTATATTGAAAGACTAGATACAAATCTAATTAAACTCTGAATAGGAGCAAATTGTAACGAAAAATATCGGAAGTAATTGGTATTTATATGTTATTTATTCTCATACATTGATTTTGTGCAAATTTGATAAGTAGTTCCAGATCTCATCACTTATTGCATCTTGGACGAATTTAACAGATACGTGTTTTGCACAATAGAAAAGATAGATTTATGTACCTATATTGCATACCTTAAGTATTTTTGATATTAATTCAATAACCAGAGACTAGATACAGTTGAAAATTCATTATTTTCATTCATTATTTCTCTACCAGATAAAGACCTCAGACCATACAAACTTCGTAGTAAAGACTTGTTTATATATGCTATTTAGTTATGCTACAATAACAAAAGAATTTCAAATATTTAATTAGTTATTTTCACTTTTTGTTATTCGGTCACATCACTTTCCGCCACCCTTAAAATAAAAAAATGGATTTTTGTATTTCCATCCATATTGCTTGTGATCAAAGTTATTCGTTTTTGAATTCATTTTTATTCATTGTTTTGATTTATGATTTTGCTTCTCATTTTTTTCGATATCACAAGATATTAGAAGAAATTGATGAGAAAAATCTGCATTTTAATACGAGTTCATCTAGTTATGCAGACTTTCTTGACCAAAACATCAAAAACGAATTCGAATTCCCAAAAAATATGCGGAATAACCAGACAAACAATTCATATATCGACATAACAGATAGTGAAGGAAACAATATATATACAATTTTTAAAAATAAACTTAAAAATAACGATTTCAACTTTGAAATACAGAATTCAAAAAGAAACACAACAATTAAAGAATACTTTTACATAGCAGAAATATCAGATAATTGCTCATTGCCATTTAAAATATACAAAGCAGTAAAGAATATTATTTTGTTTTATTCTTCATTACAGAAATCAGAAACAGACAATATCCTACAATCTTCACAGTGTGTAAAATAATACCAACATCTTTCAGATCTCAGATTACATACTCGATATCTTAGAACCATTTCTTTATCAGAAGAAATTGATTTATCAAGGAATAAAGACTATCCTTACAGCGCATACAGCATCTACCATGAGAAAGGAATCACAGGCATTGGACAAGAAGCTGCAATTGCAGATACAGGATTGGATACAAAAAGTTGTTGGTTCAGAGATAAAAGTGAAGTTCCTTTTGACACTTTTCTGATAAGCATCGAAAAATAATGTCTTACTTAGCTTATTCAGATAAATATGATGAATCACAAGGGCATGGAACAATTATGGCTGGAATCATTGCTGGTCAAGCATTGTGTGAGGAATCTTATTGTTCTGGAACATTTTATGATGGTGTTGCGCCTGATAGTCGTCTAATAATACAAGATGTTATTGATGAACATGGTAAACTTGATTTTCCTGCCAATATAACAGAGCTTTTCGATATCCCATCAATGGCAAAAAGTGTCGTCCAGTTAAATTCATGGTCCTATGAATATTCACCATTATTAACAAGAGCAGTTGATTTGATGGCCTATGTAAACATGAATTTGACAATTGTTTTTCCTTTCGGAGAAAAAAACACTCTGAGATCTCCAGCTGATTCAAAAAACGTTTTGACAGTTGGCGGTTATTATCAAGAGACATTACTCAAGAACCAAGAAGCTGAGAAACCATTTGTCAACATAATAATTGATGGCAAGAAGAATGTTTTAGGTTACTGCGATATGTCAGTTGGAATAAGTTTTTTAGATGCTATAACTGATAACAAAACATCAAACGACGTTTGTTTCAAAGGTTTACAAATCGGTGTTGCAAAAGGTGACATTTTCATTGATGAATTTGGTGACAGAAGTTTTGATGAATTAAAAGATGCAGGATTAGTTATTGCTTTCCACAACAAAGAGTACAATAACATAAAACTAAAAACATCTCTAATAAGAGTGAAAGCAGATGAAAGATACAAATTTAGAATGGGAAGTCGTGTCACAATTGAACCAATTTTTACAAATAATGTTAGTTCTGAAAGTTACAATTTACCTAAAAACTTTTATAGAACTAAACCTGATATTGTTTATCCAGGTGGACATGTTTATGCTCCAAGAGCTTATTCAATAAGTAAAAATGTTTGTGGAAAAGAGAGTTTGTTGATTGCCGAAGGAAATTCTGTTTCAGCAGCTCTTGCAACAGGAAATATCTTGATTTTAAGTCAATGGTTGAGAGAAGGATATTATCCAACAGGAAAGAAGAACAAGAAAAATAGTATTGAACCTTGCTCTACTTTAATAAGAGCAATTTTGGTAAATACAGCTGATTTGCCAATAAACGTGACAAAAAATGACGGAGGTTTTGGATTACCTCATTTAGACAAATTCATGTTATTTGATAATGGCGAAAGCAATCAGAATGGAACAAGATTGTTTAGTAACATGAGTTTGAAGGCCGGATATTCTCATAAATTCGTTTTTAGACCAGAAAGAAACGGAAAAATGAGAGCAACGCTGTGTTGGATTGAACCAGATACTGATATATATAAGAACACAGATATATTATATACTGTTGATATAAGACTTGTTAAAGGAAATGGACAAGTATTGATAGGAAATAGAAAAATCAATGAAAAATACATTGATCAACATAATACGATCAAAAGAATTGAAATTGATGTGAATGCTGGCGAAACTTATGATATTTATATTGTTTCCAAACAAATGCATGAAGATTGTTTCATATATTATTCATTAGTTATCTCCGGACCTTTTGATATGTTTGATGATTCATTAAGCGCTGTTTCTCAAGAAGAAGCTAATGATACACCTTGTATCGATTCATGCCAAGAAGGAGAAGTTTGCAAACATGGTTTCTGCGTGTGTCCGAATAACAATGATTGCATGTTGACTGTTGACAAACTCCAAACAAATTCTGTTTATAAGAAATCGATTTCATCAAATAATATGTATTATTTGGCTCTTGATATTCCTTTCTTAAACGCAGAAAGTGTTATTAACGTAAACTTCACTTGCAAAGAGACAATTCACTATATATCTGCAATAAATAGATTGCCTGCATGGAATGATTGCGATTGCACTTTCTTTACATGCAATTTCGGAGAAGTTTATGAAAATTCGTTCTCTATTAATCACCAGGACTTCGAATTCTTAAGAAAAGGTGATAAAATCGTTATAGGATATTATATTCCTGGCCACGACAAAGAAGAAGAAATTGAAATTTCATTTGAAAGCAAATAAGCTATTTTATATATAAATAAAGTTGTTTGAATATGTTTATGTAATATTGAACACATTTTTTATACAAAAAACCAAAAAAATGACTGAAATTACTCATGATTTTGCAAAAATTACATCAATATTCAACAAATACATCACAAAAATAATCTGCATGTCTGAAATCTCCTAAATAATATCAACCATCATCTATTTTTATCCGAAATAACATATCAATAAATTTATTGCACTAGCAATGCATTTATAGAGTACAAATGAAAAATAATAACATCGATACATCTATGCAATACATGGATATGCTGAATACTTTGACACCAACAAGATTTCAATGCTTATTTATAAAAATCTAAGGTCAATAGATTTGGGATCAATAAAAACTATTTTCAAATTAGCAAACCAGATAAAAATGCTGTGTAGAATCTTGAAATGTGTTGGGGTAAAAATAATTTTTTGAATTGGTCTCAGATATTCAAACTGTAAAATCACATAAAACATTCATGTAAGAAAATTTATCTTTTATATAAACTTTACTAAAAAATTTTTTTCAAAATTGATAATGTAAAAACAAGATCATTTTGAGTAATGTTTTCTCCAAATAAGCAATACAGTTAATGGTAATATCATGAAGAAGTAAGTTATATAAAGAGTAAATAGGGTCAAGTCCTTATCTATTGTTTCTGAACTTACAATGTCATCCAATGTAGAAGAAGTAGACGAAGTAGAAGATCCTTCAGTTGTGTCTCCATAAGAATCTTCAGCTGTGACGTCAGTTAATTCTTGGCCATCTGGTATATCAAAGATTTCCCACTCCTTCATCTTGTTTTCTGTAATATGGTATAATATCTCAGCGGATTTAAGGATTTGCTGCTTAGTCCTTGTCTGGCATTCTGTAATGAACTCATCTGAGATGGTATCTCCTGGTCTTAGCTTTGAATAAATTGTTGCTTTTGTATATTCTCTATTTTCAATTTTAGCTGCTTCAACAACCGAGTCTGTACTTGAAAAAGTAGGTGTTTCCCATGATTTAAAGAGTTCAACCTTGAGTTTTCTTACATCTTCCCAAAAATCACGGGAAAATGTTGCGTGCTTTTGGGAATCAAGGCCACAGCCTGATTCTAATACATCGAATAGGCTTGTGTTCGTTCCATTGTACATTACGTAGAAAACTTGTCCATTTCTATCTCCATCTGGGAAATCATTGGAGAAGAATTCTTGTGTATGCATAGTTGCGTGGATATCAGGTACTCCTGCAAATAAAACTTTCAGATGAGTTGATAATATGAAAGGAGATGAAGGTATGAGGAAAAAGATTTTAGTAGCAGATTCCTTGAGGACATCTACAAGATTATCTTTACCATTGTATTGAGGAATATAATTTCTGGATTCAAGTGTAAATGGTTCACGTGAAAAATGCCAATGATTGAAGCACTTAAGATTGAATGGTGGTCTTTCAACATAGTTCATCCAAGTGCTAAGTTTTGAGAGGTTTTTAGCAAGATCATAATCAGCTGATCTTAAAAAGGTCCTTGCAAGCTTTTGTTTGTATTCTAATTCAATCTTATCCATCACCATATTGCTGACAGTGGTCATTAAAAGATCAGTCCAGCAAAACGATGAGACTAGAAACAGGAAAAGCATTTTTCAGATTTGACAGATTTTTCATCCGATTTCTAAATTTCAAAATCAATATAAAATTTGGTGCAATCATGAATATCAAGGATTTGACAAAATGTCAAAACGTTTTGACACAGGATTGAGAGAGAATTGAAAAATAAGATCATTACTTGGAAATATGAAATGTAAAGTCCATTCAGGCTAGAAATCAATTTACGATGAAAAGTCTGATAAAAATGAAAATATTGTAGTAGCCAAATATGAAAAACTGCATCCAATAGAATTTCTACACTATGATTAAGCTTATCTATTGGATGAAAATGCAAGTTTATCAAGTGAAATCCAAACAATCCATTTATAAATCCATGAATTTTTGATTTTCAATGTTAACAATCCAAAAACATAATCCAAAGATCGGAAAAACAGTTAAAATTATTGACATAAAAAACAAGAAAGCTTTTATTAAAATATATTATAAGAAATCAGATTAATAGACAACATTGGCTTTTGATATTAGCATCTTGGAGCAAAAATGATTTCATCTCAGGAGATCTAACCTTAGCAAGTGCATTTTTATCGATTGTAGCACCTTTTGTCTGCAATTCTTTTGCCATTTCGACATCATCGTTAGCAATTGCAATAGATAATGGCGTATTGCCTTGCTTATCCTGTAAATTAATATTTGCACCATTTTCTAATAACAAATTAACTAATAAAATGTCCGATACTTCTACAGCGTAATGTAAAGCCGATTTTCCTTCATCGTTTACATCGTTTACATTTTGTCCATAATGTAACAAGATTTTTGCAGAATTATATCTTTTTTCGGTTTCTTTTCTGATATCAAAGGTACTTTGTCTTTTTCTGAACATTGCGACCTTAATTAAAGGTGTATTCTTCTTTTTATCCCTCGTATCAACCTTTGCTCCGTTATGACCTAAAAATTTAATAATTTCTTCACACGCGTTTTCACTAGCAGCCAAAAGAGGAGTATTTCCTGTTCCATCAACACTGTTAACACTTGCACCATTAGCAAAAAGGAATGAAACTGTATTTAAGTTCTGCATTTTTGATGCATGGATAATTGGACAAAAACCATTGACAGTTTCTCTCAAATTTGCATTATTCCTCATCATAAATTTAATTGTGTCTCTATCATCGTTGTATAAAGCTGTCAAAAGTGGAGTCGTACCAGAATTGTTTTTTGATTCTTTGTCTGCACCTTTATCGATCAGGTATTGAGCTATTTTATAGCTTCCATAGTACGTAGCTACTGCAAGAGCTGACATTCCATCAACATCTTTAATTTCTAAGTCTGCTCCTTTTTCTACTAAATAAACGGATGATTCAAGATCATTATCGTATGTAGCACGAATTAATGGTGTCATGCCGTCTGTATCTTTACGATTAATATCAAATCCTTGCTTGATTATTAAGTCTGCTGCAGTATTGTATTTTAGCGATATTAATTCATTAATAATATCACATTCTGTAAGTATTGCCGATGAATTTCCAGCCATCATTAATATTTCTAAACATCCGTAATTATTCTGTGTTTGAGCCAAATCCACGAGCCTAGGACTAAGCATATCGACTTTCTTAAGATACAAATCAGCTAATAGACGGGTATCAAAGCCTGCAATACATACTTCTGGTGTAATATATTTTTCTAATAATTGAAAATGTTTATCGAGCATAGAATACCTATGCCATGTAACTATATGATATGCAGCTGTCTTGTAATCAGCTTGAAACTCAGGATTTTTGAAAAAATATGTGACCGCGTTTTCATTTCCAAGAATAATTGCTATTGTAACAACATCGTACGGTTCTTCATTGACAAGCAACTCCAGATTAAGATCCACTTTTGAGAAATCCGTTGCCTTTAAGTCTTTTAAGGCTTGAAAAGATTCTTGATATTGGTCTGTGTATATTTTTGAAGTGTTAACACCATTGTATATTTCACGTAGTTTTTCAATTTGTATGGCAAAATTCGAATTATAGCGCATATTTGTTAGATTTTCGAATTTCTGCTTGGTTGCTGTAATATATCCAAATAAATCCTTTTCAGTTTGAATTTGATCTGTTACGCAGTTAGAAAATTCATTATATGATGCGTTTTCTAACATTGCAGAAATGAAAAACGTTCAAAGCGGTTTTTCGACTTATTGTCTTTTTTTATGAAATTTTTCAATATTAATTCATAGCGAGTTGTTATTAAACTGGGCATGCAATGGAAATTTTTGACAAAAGTGACAAAATTATACATTTTTTATGGAATCCGCCTTTTAGTTCATGATTATTATATGATTTTATATTAGATATATGAATATTATTTCCAAAAATAAAATGAAAAAATAAAATCAATGAAATTTCAAAATCAAATCTCTTTTTCGCATCGAATTGCTATCGCACATCATGAGGAAATACATTCTATGTCAGTAACACTAATATTTACAAACAATATCATATAAATTAAATATTTGTTCGAATAACAAAAATTATTCTCCCCAAAATTCCCAACATTCATGCCCTTTGCATGCTTCATCCCATATATCCCACCAAACTTGGTTTAGGGAATACATACCGCATCCGCATGTTTCTACACCTTCTCTTCCACATTTCCATGGTTTTTTACAGACAAAGTGGACAACTTTAATCAATTTTTGCTCATAAAGGAATTCAAAGTTGGTATCAAATAGTCTTGGTACATTATAGAGAGTTGGAAGAGGATTAAATTGCCCAAAAAAGAAATTGATAAATCCTTGATCACCAGGTGGGTTATTGGCATACAAATCCTTAGAGAGCTTCTTCATATGTTTGAAAGTCGTTAAATTCGGCTCTAAAACTAATAATCCTGTATTGCAGATCTGTGGCGGCATTGGATCCGAAACACATGATAATTCTGAATGATTAAATAGTTCATCTATTCTTTGCGTTGGTAAAGTATCTGTATCTAAATATACAATTTTTTCATATTCAGTAAATGTCCATAATTCCAGTTTAATCCAAGATCTTCTAAACCACAAATATGGTTTAGCATCATTAACTTGCTCTACTCGCCACCATTGAGATAATATTCTTCTCCATTTAGAATTTACATCCTTTGTAACTAAACATAGGTATGAATAGTCATTTCCATTGTATTTTCTAAGCGTATATCCTAAAACAACTGCTCCCATGCAAAATGCAGGAGTTGTTACTGTTGCAAAAGCATATCTAGATGAATTTGTATAACGCACTTTATCAATTCTTCGTAAAGACGCTAAATTCAAGTGAACATATATTGAAATAACGATTGCAATGCATGGAATAATATGAATGATTTTGAACTTCATGGTAAAATGTCATATTTTCGTAACTAAAAGCATGCATTATGGCCACATTTTAATTCCACTCATTCTGTTTCTAGAATTCAATCATACAAATCATTCTTTGAAATATTGAGAGAAAAATAATCGTAAGATTTTAGAGATTTTTTGATGGCTGATATTATCATTCCAGTTGGCCAAAAGCTTTTATCAAATGTTTCTATTGTCAAACTGAAGAAGAATGGCAAGCAATTCGAAATTGCTGTCACTCCAAACAAAGTCACAAGTTGGAGAAATGGTCTGGAAAAAGATATTGATGAAGTTGTACAATCACATTCAATTTTCTCAAATGTAGATCGTGGAATGCTCGCTAAACAGTCAGAAGTATTAGAAACACTCGAAGTTGATGATATGGAAAAAGCATTACGTTTAATTCTTGATCAAGGAAAACTAAAACTCGCAGAAAAAGAAAGGAAACTTGTTATTGAGAATCTTACTAAGGATATTGCATCAATTGTTGCATCACAATGTGTAAATGTAAATACAGAACGTCCTCTAACACCATCGACTGTTGAAAGAGCAATGAAAGAGATAGGATTCTCAGTTAAACCTACAAAACCAGCCAAAACTCAAGCACTTAAAGTTATTCGTGATTTAAAGGCTGCACACTATCCAACTGCACGTGCTAAGATCAGACTAGTTTTCTACATTACTCCTGAACATGCAGAGAAGATGATATCCATGCTTCCTTTAGTAGAAAAAGTTGATAAATCAGATCTGAACCAAACCGCTGTTATTGCTCAAGTTGAACCAGGCTCATTAAGACAAGTGGTCAAAGAGCTTGCAGAACAGTTTGGAGCTGATATTAAAATAGATATTCTCGAACTTTACGTTTCTCCAACAATGGAGGCTTCAGAGAAGAAGCAGGATGAAACTGGAGATAAGAAACAAGAAAATGATTCCGATGAAGAAGAAAATAATGAATAAATATTATAAAATAGAGCTGTTTACGAAAAATTCTTTTATTTTGATTTAACACAAGCATATCAATATACATTTTTTAATAATTAACAAAACAATTTTTGAGATGATTTTGAATTTTTGGCCAAATAAAAAGGGAACGTATTAGAAAGAAAACAAATCTATTATTTATATTAAAAATCATCTTGCAGAATAGATAAAAAGATCCAATCCGAAATATGTTGCCAAATTATTATACAATTCAGCTATTTCTGGGGGCAGACGAGGTGATCCCGTCTTCTGTATTGCATCATACGTATCTCTGTTAAAGCATTCTCCGGATAACTTCAATAATATTGACTTAAGTTTTGATATATCGGCCAATTCGTTGGCCACTGTTCTCCTCTGGTAGATTCTTGCTAGTAACTCTGGAATTTTCGGTAAAATTACGTCTTTCACTATCTCTTGTCCAATATACGAAAGAGCGATCGCAGAACCGACCTTTCTGCCGATGTTCAATTGTATCTTATCAAGGAAAATTGTAGAGAAATGGTCGGCCAATCGCTGGCGTAATGTTGGAAACTGAGGAGTGAATTTTATGATCAAATTATCCAAAAATTTAGCTGCGAGGTCTTTAATTGGTATGAATTCACAGGATGTCTCATTAATTCCTGTAATTGCTAGATTAATAAGGCTAATTAAGTAATTTTCAATTGGAATAAAATTATTTTGAATAAGAGCTTCTGCTATTTTAATTCTTAAAATCAAGTCTTGGTGTTGTGTATAGTCTGAGGATAATTCATGCATAATATAAGGCAAGATTGGTGAAATTGCCGAGTCTTTTTCCATGTTTTTGCAAAGTACATCTACTTCTGGAGAGCTAGGAGACTTATTAAATATGTTCATGTATGTATTGTATAAATCTGTATCAACATCATTCCTTGATGAAATAATATGAACGGATTGGTCGGTCATTTTAGCTTTCTGTAGTTGGCCAACAGTAATTGGAGCTGAATAAGAATCTCTGGTTTGTTCTCTGTGTGTTAGTTTCTGAAAAAAAATTTGGTTCCTGGTTTATTTTAAAATAAAACAAGCCAGAAACCAAAGAAATACGTACGCTATATTTTCTGGTATTTGAGGCTGAACACCTTTTAAACATGCTTGCCAATGAAAAGAAAAAAATTTTTCGATGGGAGTGGGAGGAAGTGGCTTATTAATGAATGTATTAAGATCAATTTGCTTGTCTTCGGGTATATATACTTCTTGACCATCTACAAGACCTACTGAGACGTATTTTATCCCTTTACGATTTCGATATCCAAGAATCGGATTATAATTATAGGCTACAAGTGCATCATTAACATTTTCGACAGTGAGCTTTTTAGAATGTGATTGTCTCTGAAAGTTAATCCCAAGTGATACTACATTTTTTATAAAAGCTTCAAACATTTTCTTAATTGGCATATACACTTCCCGATCATTAACAATCAAATTCCTCTCATCAAAAATGGCCTGCACTGACAGGTCAAAAGCTACTTCCTCTTCGTTCGCCATTAAAAAGTGACATAGATACTTTAGTGTTTTATATTAAAATTGTTTACTTTTAATAGCAGATTATGATTCATAATACAAAATCAAACAAAAATGAATATATAATCACCTGAAAAAGACAGAAATGAGTTAAAATTCTTCTCAAATTACCTCGTATATCAATGATACATTATAAAATGCAAGGATTGAACCTTGTGGTATAATATTTTTACGAGAATAGTGATGTTTTACAAATATCTTTAAATTCTGGTTTTTTGGCATACTATACTTTCAACGCAGTTCTTCGAAAGAACACTAAAGTTAGAATCGACGTAGTCGTTAGCGTATTCGATCCTTTCAGTGTTTAAAGGAATAATTCCAAAAAACAAAATAAAACCACTTCTTCCTTTATTGAAAGAAGCAATTTCTGCCGAAGAAAGAGATAGAGATAGAATATAACTTCGAATTTTGCCTTCAATTATTTGTAATTAATGCTAAGAGACGCAAACAATTCCCTTATTAATGCGCGTCTAACATTCATCTGCCTGCTGAAGTATTTTTAAGCTCAAGTTTTTGCGATTATTTCCAAAAATTCGTTTAAACGAACTCTATCGTCTCCGACCATAAAGTTAGATTAAATGCGAAATTGCATAAGAAAGATTTTGAACAAAATTCATCATTCTGGTCGAAAGAGTTTGGAATACGAAAATCTGGATTATATTTGATGTGTTCATGCTAAAATGTTTGATATATGAGAGATTTGTAAGATTCATAAAATATGAAAACCAAAAAATGTGTAAATGGTTGTTTTGCACGTGTCAGTTATGCTATGTATAGTTTGGTAATATAAATATACGTGATATATACTTGATAAAGCATGAGAGCCTAAATCACAAACTGATGGTTGACTTTAATCTTCATCTGATAGACTGCTTGTGAGAGTTTTTGAAGATTTTATTCTTCAATCTGAAGTTGATTGAAGTATTTGTTCCTCATCTGGGGTACAATACCACAACAAATACATCAGATGGGGAACATTTGAAACAATCTTAATCTGAGCATCCTCATACAAATAAACTCTGTTCATCAAACATAATTCAATGATAATTTGACACTTTCCCATATGTGTTATATGTCAAAAACATAAAATTTTGTGAATTTTTTTATATTTCATGACTCATATAGGATAACATATAGATATAACAGTATAATCTTGTTATTCATCACATGTATAATTGAGTCATGCCATTTATACATGTTTAAACTATAGTTTGAGCTTCATAAATCTTATGAGATTCTTGAGAAATATCAATGACCGACCAGATTCTTTTCCACAGATATCTTCATGATAACTTCAATCATTTTATGTACAAGTCACATAATTTAGACGGATTCGTCAAAATGAAATCTTCAATCAGAATCCATATCCTGCACAAGCGCATAAAATGCACATCAAGGACGAGTTATAATTTTTGATGAGTTTTATTCAGTCCTAAACTCATTATTTAAAAAAATTCAACGTAAACTATTCAAAATTTGATGATGTTGCAAGAACGATAGCTTTTTTTTGGATTAGGATCAAATATGTTAAGTTCTGAGCAATCAAATAATGAAACTGAATTCGATTTTAGTGACATCAAGCCAATTGAAGCATTTGAATACCCTAATCAAGCATCAAAAAAGATTTGGAGTATCAATTCCAATAATATTCTACATATATCTTCACAAATTATAGAACTCATTACAAATAACAAAATATCCATCCAAATGTCACTTCATCTGATTGATATTATTTCACAACTTCGTGATAAAGATATTAAATTATTAGCAGAACTTTACGAAAAGATATTAAACGAATTCTCATGCATTATCAAACCGGAAAATGTGAAATTAACGACACTTCTACATTACAAAGGTTTCAAATTTGAACACTTCAGTCCTATAAAGAAAGAAGAAGAAATTCTCAATTTATATCCAACAGAATCTCCTTTATACTATATTGCATGGAATAAAGTTGATGATCTTAAGAGCAAATTCCCAAATCTTGATATTAATAAGAAAATAAATTATGAAATCACACCCCTTGATTGTGCGATTAAATATGGATCAGAATTATGTTTCAATTATTTGAAAAATTTAGGTGCTCAATACACTGAATACTCCGAAAAATATGCTGTTCAAGGCGGAAATAAAATCATTTTTATGCAAATGATAGAGGAAGGTAAACCATTTGATAAAATGATAAATACAGCATTGAAATATCGAAACAATGAAATTGCTAACTATCTTAAATTAAATTTTGGTCAAACTCCTGATTCGGCGTGTGGGCAATTTTAACGACATTTTTTAACGCGATACGAGCGTAAGTTCATAGAATGTGTTTTGAGGGAAACTATAAAAATCCAAAATAGAGGTAAGTGCGCCATTATTACCTGCGAAGTTACATGGAATAAATCGAAGAGTAAGTACAAGATGATCTTGCATCTTTCCAAGTAAATGAAATTTATTAAAATTAAGATGATAATATTCATTTATAGTATGTGTATGATGTGTTTTCAAAATTTCTTCAAATAAAATGCAATGATAATTTTTGAATAATTTTTTCTTGTGTATATTTCATTTTTTATTAGTGAAAATATCATTACATCAATAAGGAAAGCACAATCCAAATTCATATTAGTTAAATTAATCTACGACCAAAAGCCCGCCAAATTTGAATTAAACACGTTTTTTGATAAAAGTGTCATTTATGATTGTTGCATTTAGGGATAGTAGCCAATTTCGGTACCAATCTTGAAAATGCCTCGCCATGCCCGCAACATGGAAGAGAAGTATTGGTCTGATATTGAACTATCAATCAATGCAAACTGAATCACCTTGTCATGTTGCTCCACAGATACAGCAGTCTGAGTCCCTCGCTTGGTCATGTTGCTCCACAGATACAGCAGTCTGAGTCCCTCGCTTGGTCATGTTGCTCCACAGATACAGCAGTCTGAGTCCCTCGCTTGGTCATGTTGCTCCACAGATACAGCAGTCTGAGTCCCTCGCTTGGTCATGTTGCTCCACAGATACAGCAGTCTGAGTCCCTCGCTTGGTCATGTTGCTCCACAGATACAGCAGTCTGAGTCCCTCGCTTGGTCATGTTGCTCCACAGATACAGCAGTCTGAGTCCCTCGCTTGGTCATGTTGCTCCACAGATACAGCAGTCTGAGTCCCTCGCTTGGTCATGTTGCTCCACAGATACAGCAGTCTGAGTCCCTCGCTTGGTCATGTTGCTCCACAGATACAGCAGTCTGAGTCCCTCGCTTGGTCATGTTGCTCCACAGATACAGCAGTCTGAGTCCCTCGCTTGGTCATGTTGCTCCACAGATACAGCAGTCTGAGTCCCTCGCTTGGTCATGTTGCTCCACAGATACAGCAGTCTGAGTCCCTCGCTTGGTCATGTTGCTCCACAGATACAGCAGTCTGAGTCCCTCGCTTGGTCATGTTGCTCCACAGATACAGCAGTCTGAGTCCCTCGCTTGGTCATATCACACCAGATAAATAAAAGTTCAGCTTCACAATACTTACCTGCTCTATTATGTGATTTTTTCCAACTATCATATGTTAGTTGTTGTATTGAAGTTGAGTATGAAAGAATAATGTTGCAAGATTTCTCACCAAATAAAAAATCATTAAAGAACTTTTTATTCTTTGAAAATGTATTTATGTTGAAAATAATGGAAGATGTTATTCTTGTTAGTTAGTTTACGAAGTTCTTTTGGAAGAAATTTGTTGAATATCTTTATTTTGAATGGGAATGAACTTAGGAAATTCACCACGAGCTCTTGAATAGGCAGAATTGTAATGGATGATTAGCTATGATGGGATTATACGATGTTGGTTTGTTCTAGAATGATTAAAAAGTTTTCGGGTAATGTGCTGATGCATTACAAAAGATGGAAATTATTTAAATAATAACATAGTTTAATAATATTCAATTTAACTGATTAAATATTTGAAAAATTATCTAATTAGGATTTTTTTAGTTTGAAAATTAATTTTAGGCATAGTGTATAAAATAAAAAGCATCTACCGTGTCAGAAAATCGAAAAGTTTTCCAAAAAAATCATAAATTTCAAATTTTGAAATAAAAATTGGTACTTTTTAATATGTAAAATAAGAAAATGTATTTTTTGAAAAATTTAGATAGAGTAGTTCTCTTTGTATCTAAGAGGAGTGAATTTTTTTTCTTTAACAAGATCTGGAAACGAACAATTGAAATTTATTTTATCAATATCAGGAGGAAAAGTTAAGATTCAATATGGGATTGGTTGGGTGTAAGGTAGAGGAACTATTGTGTGATAGTTGATGCTTAGAGTTGAAATTGAAGGAAAATAAAACAATAAAAATAAAATGAATACTACCATGGACCCGTCAGTAATAGGTAGTGAAGAGAATAAATCATCCTTACCTCATACAACAACTCATCCTTAGCTGAGACAACAAGTCATCTTTACCTCAGACAACAACTCATCCTTACCTCAGTCATTGACTCATCCTTACATCAGTCATTGACTCATCCTTACCTCAGACAAAAATTCATCCTTACCTCAGTCATAGACTCATCCTTACCTCAGACATTACCTCAGTCATTGACTTATCCTTACCTCAGTTATTGACTCATCCTTACCTCAGTCATAGACTCATCCTTACCTCAGTCATTGACTCATCCTTACCTCAGTCATTGACTCATCCTTACCTCAGACATAGACTCATCCTTACCTCAGACAAAAAGTCATCCTTACCTCAGACATATACTCATCCTTACCTCAGTCATAGACTCATCCTTACCTCAGTCATTGACTCATCCTTACCTCAGTCATTGACTCATCCTTACCTCAGTCATTGACTCATCCTTACCTCAGTCATTGACTCATCCTTACCTCAGACAA